TAATGATATAACCTAAGAACACACAACTCACAGTTGTGGATAGGAACATGACCTGGGGTGGGGCTCAAGGTTTCCAGACGCCTATCCAGAACGAGAGCTTCCACGTCAAGGATATGGGTGTATACGGCAACATGCACCAAGAGCGCGGTCTGACCTGTACGTCAAGTTCCCTCATTGTTCCCCTTCGTGGTCCCTAAGCCGTGGACGTAGACGTCGAGTTCTACTACAGCGGACACATGACACCGCGTAAGTACCATCTCACTTGCCCGCCATTCTCGACTTCGTCTGATGTGAAGCTCAGAATTCGTGCCCTGGGCCGCCTTCCAGACGATTTCGTATGTGCTAGGCAAGACCGACTCGCCTTCTCAATAATTTGTACAATTAGTTGCAGCTGGATAGTCAGGGTTCACGGAAGAATTGTAGTCGTCACCATTCCTATCTCTTTCTCTATATCTCTATCAATACTATTTGGTCCAACACACGAATACACAATGTCTGCGATGCAATGGTATGTCACTTCCATCGTCACTGGATCCAAACAATATGGTACGTACGACAGTCCCAGCAAGACTACAACCACCAGCTCACTCCGCAGCCGTCATCTGCATGCATTCCTACGAAATCTCTACTGCGTCTTCTTCTCATTCGCCTCTGCCTTCGGCTTCCCTTTCCCGCTCATCGTGTACCCAACAGTCCCAGCAAACACCAGCGCCGCGCCACTCCACAGCATAATCCACGCCTGCGGGTCCAACTGCGTATTCCCCCTGAAAAACACGACGCTCAGGATGAGCGAAACCGCTTTGCGCACGACCAGCACGAGCGTCACAGTCAAGGCCGCGACGCGCGTTGTCAGCCGGTTGACGCCGGCAGAGCAAAGAAGCTGTGTCAGCGTGTTGAGTAGGAGAGGGAGAATGGCGGAGGGGAGATTCAAGTCTTTCAGAGGCGCGGCGATGACGCCGGGGAGATATGGAGTGAAAGATACGGGTAGGACGGTTGTCCTGGCGCTTGCTGTTAGAGCGCGGGCTTGAAGCATCAGGTCGTCGCGCACGAAGGCGAACATTGGGAGGGAAAGGAAGTGCAGATAGAACATGGATTCTTCCCAGGTGTCAGGCAGGTTGTCTTTACTTGGTTCAACGGCCTTGATGGAGCTGCTAGCGCCAGGCTTCGCCGGTGCATTTGGGGCTTTGGATGGCGGCGATTTGGACGTGTAGTTGCCGTAGTGCGAATACGTCCTGTCTTGGACAATTCCGAGGAAGCCGGAGAGCACAAGCGCGAGGGTCAGAATGCCGATACCGGTGAGGTAGACACGTAGGGAGAAGACTGGTGATGCTTCGGATGTGTGAAGTGTCGATTTCGATTTCTTGGAGTGTGATGCGGAAAGGGTTGTGAGGATAACACCAAACGTCACAAATAACACGGAGACGACTTGGCCGACGGTATATCTGTTCAATAATCGCGATCAGCTCAGTATCCAAATATTTGGAGGGTGGGAGAGTACTCACTTCCTTCCTGAGATGAGCCATCCCATGAGCATGCTAATTATCAGACCTCCACTTCGGAAGATGATATGCACGGGCATGGGTATGGCGTAGGCGAAGGCAGCATTATTGAGCAACGAGACTATGCAGAAGAGAGCAACTTGAATGATATATGGCGTGAGGGGTATACGGCGCGGCTTGAGACAGGGTATAGGCAAGCCCAGTGGGCCTCGTGCTGTCGTCAGAAATTTGGGCAGGCCATGGAGAGATATGACGAGAAATTGGCAGAATGTGATGAGGGTGCCTGCCTTGGGGTATTGAGAAGTTACTCGCTCTAGCGTCAATGCATTACTAGAGAATTGTAAGAATTCGATGAACATTGAAGCGAAATACACTACAGACCTGCAGCATCCTCCGAATACGAGGCTGAATGTGGTGAACCAGTCGGTCAACAGGGCAAAGGTCAATCCAAAGACGACCTGGTCATTTCTGGAGGACATTTGGACCAGTAAACACGCTATTTGTCGCCCGGCCTATGCGCGTCCTTGGACCTGGAAGTGAAAGTCTGATCAATAACACTGCACCGACGTCCTGAGAAAGTATCTACAAAACCAATCTTGATTTCTGCTTCGCGGTCGCGTCGACCAGCATAATATGTCGCCCTCAAGCGAGGCTGCCTGCTGCTCAGCGTGGCAGACGATGGCGACGTGTTCGTGCCTCATTGATGCAAGACGCGACGCGCGCCTGTCGAGTTTGACGCGCGCTTAGGGGCTTCATCACGTGGATGGTAGCGGGCACGTGCGATGCGCGTCTTTTTGAATTTTGGTCCCGGCGGCAACGCGTCTTGCTCTCGGAGCTTGACGAGGCTGACGGTCTCCGTCAGGCTCCCACAAAATGTGTTTCGAACTGCTAGCTGACCCGTGTATTTTATATAGTTAACTGTTCAGGACGGACGATAGCTCTCACCTCGTACCATCACCGTCTCTGCTTGCTCGAGCTCACTTGGATTCCAGCTCAGCTTGCTTGCATCCCGCCAGCTCTGGTCCCGTGATTTGACTGCGAGTGTCTGTTTGTTGTTTGTTGCAGAAGCACGCCGTTAAAGCCGTCTGCGAGCCTCCTTCTTTCCTATCCTTTTCTCGTCTTGCATTATCTGCTGTCCCTCGAAGGGCACACCCACATCATAACCCATACCCCCCACACTCTCTTCATAATGTCCTCAGATCGGCGGCACCCCGCGTCCCTCTCCCTTACCTCCTCGCACAACCCCCGTCTTCTCAAGCTGGTCCGCCAGAATGTCTCGTACGACATGGTCCTCTACGTCGCTCGCCAGGCTGCCCGCGTTATCCCAGTGGCGGACGACACCCAGAACCTCCCCGCCGGCGGAAGCAGCGCCCTTCCTACCCCGCCGCAGACGCCCATGAGGACCAACTTCCCCGACCAGCCGCAGACGCCCGGCGGGCTCATGCCCCTCGAGGATTTCATTGTCCAGATCATTCAGTCCTCCAACGTGCAGGTGCCGACGCTGTTGACAACGCTCATTTATCTTCAGCGTCTGCGCATGAAGTTGCCCAAGATGGCTAAGGGTACGTGCTACTTGATATCGCTCAGAGGCAACTTCTGACCGCACCTCAGGGATTCCTTGCACTCGGCATCGAGTATTCCTCGCTACGCTCATTGTGGCGGCCAAATACTTGAACGACTCGTCTCCGAAAAACAAGCACTGGGCGTCCTATGCTCGGATCTTTGACATCTCGGAGATCAACTTGATGGAGAAGCAGTTCCTCTTTCTCCTCGACTATGACCTCCGGTTCGATGAGGCCGAGGCGTGCAACTTCTTCGCGCCCTTCATGCCCTTGCCGTCTGCGCACCAGAAGGAGGCAAGGCAGCAAGCCGTCAGCCGTGTCACACAGGCAAGCAAAGCCCGTGCTCAGGCTCAGCTTCCCCCTACTCCCCCGCACGACGCCGCACCTCCCGCCCTTCCGTCCACTTCTCCCGCCCCTGCCACACAAACCCTCACCAGCACGATGCACAACATCGCGAAGCGCATCTCATCCACGTACCTCTCCGTCTCGTCTGGCGGCGGCGCGTCTGATCGCGTCGACCGCCACACGACGATGTATCCTTCCCTCAGTGCCAGCAGCAGCCGCAGCGCGAGCACGAGCGGAACGGACTCGGAGATGGGCTCGATGACCGAGGACAACGGCTCCACGTCCTCGTCGGACGACTGCCCTTCGGACGACGATGCGGACTACATGGGCGAGGGCGACGCGCACCCGCCGATCATCGAGCGCGAGCGGATGTTCGTCTTGCGCCCTGTGCCGGCGTCTGCATACCGCAAGCGCACAGTGGACCGCAAGGCCTCAGACGCAACGATGGTCGACGCACGGGCGGCGTCTGCGTCCAGCGTCTCGCTTGTCTCTGCTGCATCGGAAGCCACGGTCGCGGACACCGAGGACGCCAGCGTCGACACGATCCGGAGGCCCGACGCCTCGCCCGTCGTGACGCGTGCATCCGGAGCGGGCACGCCGCAGCGGCACGTCGTCTTCGACGCGCCGTCGTCGGCGAGGCAACGCGTCAAGCAGACCGGCGGGAACGAGGCCAAGACCATCGCGCAGAGCAAGACGATGCCTGCGCTCCAGTCGTCGCGCGGTGCGCCGGCGAACGGGGGCGCGAGCGGCTTCCTTAGCCGCATGTGGGGCGCAGCGACGAAGGGCACGGCGGCGGTGCCCACGGCTTCGGCGGGCGAGTGCACGAAGGCCCTTCCTGGTGTCCAGGTTGCGGAGATCGTCGAACCGCCCGAGACGTTCAACCCGAACCAGCCGCATTCGCTGGGGTCGTTGCGCGTGCGGAGGCTGGCGCACTCGCGATCGGCGGTGCTGAGGGGCGCTGGACGCGGTGTTGGCGCCGGTGGGATGGACGTGGACTTGTGATGCTGCGGACGACGAGACGGGGTATGCTTTCTTGGACATTCGAGACGAAGTGGACGTGATGATGGTGCTTGCGGATTTCGGACCCGGCTTCGGACGCGGACTGCAGTGTGTGCACATTGTATCTCCACCCTTCCTTTCTGCCTTTCGTCTCTTCGTTCTCTCACACCATCTATCCATCCCACCGTCTCGCCATCATCATGTGCTTATTGTTTCTTCCCTGCATTCTATCCGCGCGCTACGATTTGTACACTTTCATCATCTATTCCTATCCTTATTATTCCTATTTCATTACATCACGCTTCGCGTTGTCCAGTCTATTACCCATATACCTAGAACCTAGACAGATACCTATACCTAGTACACGTGCTACCTGTATCCTTATACCATCTCGTTTTGTGTTGTTACATTTCTATCCTACGTCTTGTGCTCCTGTATCTTATGCTTCGTTCATCTTGAATTAATGGATGAACTCATACAGCCCGTCCCCGACGGAGTCCCCAAAGATGCACAACGAGCAATAGCAAAACCAGCGTCTCCTTCAGGTGCCGTCCGCCCAATTGCAATTGCCATGGTGGAGGAAAGGTGCAAAAAGTGGTTCAACCCAGGATCGAACTGGGAACCTTCTGTGAGCGTATCTCAATGTGAGACAGAAATCATAACCATTAGACCATTGAACCGTTGTTATGGGTGCTCATACCCAGATCCAGACGAGTATCATCTCTAGTCCCCGAGTGCAGAAACCTTCAAGTTCCTCACACGAAAAACTATTGGCGGGAGTAGCACGAGCGCTGCATACACCGAGGTTCAGCACAATCTCACACGTCGACAGAGAATGCCGGGAATAGGAAATATGATATTGATACATAGTGCTAGAAAATACAAGATCGCTACTACGCGTAGAGCTACAATGTTCGTGATAGATAGTCCAATAAAGATAGCATATGCATGAGAGTGAGAGAGATTGGTGAATGCGATGATGTAGAGAGAAAAAGATAAAGAAAAAAAAATAGAACAGTGCTGAGTCGAATCGGGCGCGCGCGAGACAGACAGAGAGACGTTGATGTGAGCCCAGGTGGATGCTGGTGCGCCGGAGTTGTTGCTGTTGCCGTCGACGAGGCAGTCAGGACTGAGGAAGGTACCTGTTGATAAACGAAAGCCAGGCATTCCAATTCTCGTCCTCAACTGCCACCTCGGGCTGCGCAGGGACAACCGGCGCCGGCATTTGCGAGCCACTCTGCTCAAAGCCGAAGCCGAAGCCGAAGCCGAAGCCGAGGTGTTCGTCGCCGAGATCTTGCAGCGGGGGCGACTGCCAAGGCGGAGCGTTGTATGGCGAGCCAAGTGTCGCCAGAGGGAAATTGAAGCCGTCGACATCGAACGGCGCATCCTGGACCGCGGCCTGGTATACCTGGTTTTGCTGCTGAACCGGGGGCACCATCCCGAAGCCGAAGCCGCTGAGCATTTCGTTCGCGGCGACGAGCGAGTATCCCGTCAGTTGCTGCGTCTCCAGACCCGTGACGTCGGAGGATCCGGGGTAGCCGTCGACGAAGCCATGCTGCAGGTAGTTGGTCGACGTACTCGCGCCGTACACTGCGTCGGGCTGCAACTCGACCGGCAGAGGTCCTGGCGGGTTGTAGGGCGCGGCGTACTGCTCCGCGCTGGCCGCGTAGGTGTTGTTCGCCCACACGTCCGTGTGTTGCACCGGCTGTTGCGCGAGGGACGCCGACGAAGCAGGTTGCCACACCGGGCTGGGCGCCGAGTACAAGGTCCCCGTGGAGGCTGTCGTCGCGGACTGGGGCATCGTGGGCGCGAACGAAAAGTGGGTGGCGCCCGACGATGACGACGATGACGAGACGCCCGGCACAATGGACGACTCGCGGACGGGAGTGGCAGGCCGTGCTATGTCAGTGAAGTCGATCTGGAAGCAGCGGCCGACAGCACTCTCATTCGCGAAGCTCGGTGTTACCTTGCACCAATGATTCCCGCCCGTCAGGTCGGGAGGGTCGACGGAACCGATGGTCGACGCCTCGGGCGCGGGCGAGCTGGCGTCATGAGACCCGCTCGCTTGGGGTGGCACAGGCGAGCGGGATGGGTAGGGCTCGCACCTTCGCCGAGCGCGCTTCGCCTTCCGTGCCGCGGGACCCTTGCCTAGCAACGCCAACAATTTGATCTTGTTGTCGTATTCCGCGCTGTGTTTGATGGAGTGTCCGTGGCACTTCTTCCGGTGGACAGACCGCTGAGGCTGAGTCGAGAATGTCGCGGGGCAATCCGGGCATTGGTGGGGCTTGATTTTCGTGCTGTGGACGAAATAGCGTGAAATGGGTTCATCGGTAGCAGGGAGGCGGGAGGACGCACTGTTTATCGTTGATATGGTCCTCGAGTACTGGCTTTTGCCTAGATGTGTAGGAGCAGCCCTCCCATGTACACATCCATGTGCTATCAGACGGTCCGTTTAGCTCCTGAAGAGGCAGGAAGATGTACACATACGGGGGGTTGGCGCTGTGGAAGCTTCGGTTGTGTCTACGAAGCTCCTTTTCTTGCGAAAACCACTTGCCACACGGCTCGCAGAAGGGGTTCTTGGTGTGGGGTCAAGATCTCTGGGTAAAATGGGAATGGGTGTACAACACAAGACAGACATACCGAGGTCATCTTGAGATCAGGATATCGTCTATGGGGAGGTGTGGCGGAGCAATCTAGGAGATGGCTGTCCGAGTCGGTAGCAGGGAGAAGGTGTCGAGATGGGGGCAAAGGTATCAAAGAGACGATTTGCCACAGATGAGGGTTGGAGGCGGGGCCTTTGGCTGAGGTGGGTAGTAGTAGAGGGGGATCTCGAGTGGTGAACCACAGAGCAAAGCGACAGCCAATTTATGCGCTGTCCGCTCGTATGCCCCTGACCAAACCTAACACTCGGGGGCTTCGAAAAAAAACGGTGTCAAAGGGCAACGATCGCGCCCGCGGACTCATCAGGTCAGGCGGTCAATGGATGTGAGATCTTTCGAGAGATACGCTACCGTTTACAACCCAATGGCCTCTTCCGACAGAGTACGCTCAACCACAGGGCCTCCCGGAGGCAATCTGCTAACCCGACTGGCCGGCGGCCTCCCGCGCCTCGATTTGCTATCGGCAGTGATATGGCACTCGCAACGTAGTGATTCGGGGCGGGGCCTCCTCCGAGCCTCCGAGCCTATCGAAGCCAGATCAGCGATGCCTGAGAGGCTGAAAGGGAGATAGTGAGCGGCGGAACACGTGTGTGGCAAACGGGCGGTACGGCAATGACCGCCCTTGAGTATGGGAGAGAAGGGAGAAATAAGCAGAAAAGACAGAGGGCGGGAGTGTCTTGTATAAGTATGCATTCTCATGGCAGAGGCACAGGACTAGATGTCCTGGCTGAATTGAGCACAAACGTCTTGTTCCCAATTGTGATGAAGGGATTCACGTGACCGCGTCGCATCTAAGTCTGCAGCCCTCGTCTCCAGCAACAGCTCAGACGTTCCAGAACCGACCACAAATGCGCAGATGTGGTTGTGATCAGCGCGGAGCGATGCATGCGATACCGATACATACATCAAAGAATTCGGCCCCCATTCCTGTCAAGCCTTCGAGGCGTAGGAGGCGTAGGCGTCGGCGAAGGCGCTCGTAGGCGTCCAAACTATCCCTTCCAAGGGTCACCAAATTCGCGACCGAGGCGCGAGATCGCATCTGAGGGCTGAGGGCCTCCGATGAGCGCACGGGTAAAATATAAAGACGAACGTACCATGAAGGTGCCCCAAATAAGGAATGCTCGGTCCTTCTGGTTTTGCACAATGCATGCAGGAGCCTGGACCGTGGACCGTATGCTATACGCCTCCTAGAAAACCTTTATCAGTCCTATATATTGGTTCTTTATGGGGTCCTATAGCGATGGACTGAGGCTAGTGACGCATGTCGTGGGTCGGACGTACGGTGGTCATGGCATCGGGGTTGGGAGACAACGCATTCCGCTCCTGTGCTCCTGGTTAATCTTTTCAAAGAGGAGGAAATGCGTGATTTTGCGAGATAAGAATTGTACGAGTCTAGCTTGGTTGTCTGTGGGATACTCGTTCGTCGGAAGCTGCAGGAGGCAAGAGTCGGCGCAGCACACCGCGCTGGGCCTTCCCTCGGTAGTTGCCGTCTTTTGTTCAACCTGGCGCCATTCAACGCGATCATGTCACACATGAAAACAGCCTGAGATACGACTAGAAACTAGGAATGGAATTGCTCCCTTCGATATATAATGCCAGAGATTCAAGGTTGCTACAGTGCATGGATATACGGTGTTTGTGATAGATAGTCCAATAAAGAATGCATGCAGTATGAGAGTGTGAGACATAAATGTGATGATGAGAGAAAAGAAAATAATAAGACAATGCTGAGTGAGTTTGGGCGCAATGGGAACACGAGAGACGTCGGTGGTGAGGGGAGTTGATGCTGGAAGGCGAGATGCCCATGTGCTGGGTGCCGGTGAGTTCCCTAGATGATCAGGAGGGGGAAATATCCTTGTTTTCAGGCTGAAATAACAGGTTGAGGTAGTTTGTCTCGGCTGCCACGCCGGGGTGAGCAGGAGCAATCGGCGTCTACGTCGGCGAGCCATATTGCGAGTCGAAAAAGTCGTCGTCGAGACCATCCTCCATCGATGTAGCTCCAGGCAATATCTTCGTTCAATTAAAGGGCACCGGATTCACCTCGGACTCGGACGTCACGCTGTCAGGGGTCGCGGCGGAGCCTGTGGTGGATGCCTCGAGCACATGCAGGTTAGTTTTCAAGGATCTGCTCTTACGGGAGCGCGCTGGGGAGCTCGAGGGGTACGGACTGTACTTTTGTGTGGCGTGCTTCGCAGTATGTGCCGCAGGGGCCTTGCCTAGCAAGGGGCTGGTGGTCCATGGTTCACCATTGATGTAGCTCCAGGCGACATCTTCGTTCAAGGGCACCGGCTTCACCTTGAACTGGGACATGAAGTTCTTCATGCCAAGAGTCGCAGCAGGGCCTGTGCTGGCTACTTCGGGCACGTGCTGGTTAGCCTTCGAGGATTTGCTCTTACGGGAGACCGCAGACGAGCTTGAGGGGTACGGATTAAACTTTTGCGCGGCACGCTTTGTTCTATGTGCCGCGGGGATCTTTCCTAACGACTGTAGGCACTTTTTCTTGTACCACGCCTCGGTGTGGAAGACCTCGTGGTTGTGCGCCTCCTTCTTGTGCTTCGTCAGCGGGAGAGGGTTCCTTAACTTTTCGGGAAATACACTAACCACCCTGACCAGCCGACACCACCCAAGCTCGGGGAGGCATCCTCTTAGCCCGACCAGCTGGCGGTATCCCGCAGCTCGACTGCCCTTCGGCAGTGCTAGTGATATGGCACTCGCAACGTGGTGGCTCGCGGCGGGGCGCAGGTAGCGCGCGGGGCCTCCCCGGGGCTTCCGGGAATATCAAATCCATATCTGCGGGACCTGAGAGACGGAAAGGGAGATAGTGAGTGGCGGGACACGTGTGTGGCAAAATGGGCGGTACGGCACTGGCCGCGGGAGGGAAAAGCGCTCGGGGGGCAATGAGTAGACAGACGCGTCGGACGTGGAGAGAAAACGTCTTTTATGAGTACGCGTCCCCGTCGTACGTAGATGCATAGGATTGGGTATCCTGGCTGAATTGAGCACAAACGTCTGCACTCCTT